GTTGCTCCCAGGGATGCTGACACGGCGGAAGCACTTAGAGGAAAGCACCCTGCCAGGGAAACCAGGGGCACCAACAGTTCCAACACCTCTGTCCCCACTGGGGGAAACCCAAATTGATCGTGGAAGACTCAGACGTTTACAAAGCAATAATGTCGTTCCCATCTGGGTCTGCTGGGGGTTACACTGGAATAAGGCCAAAGCATTTAAAGGAAATGGTTAATCCAGTTATTGGGGACATTGCAGAGACACTGCTTTCAGAGATCACAACATTCGTCAACAATTCCTTGGCTGGTCTTATTCCTGACGAAATTAAACCTTTTTTTTTTGGGTTGCAACACTTTGTGCACTTAAAAAGAAGGATGGGGGGAATTAGGCCTATTGCATGGCAACACTTTTCGCCGCCTCCGTTTCCAAAGCTGCTGTCTGAAGCATTCGCGCAGAGGTAGCCATGATGCTTAAAACCAACCAGCTTGGTTTTGGGGTCTCTCAAGGAAGTGAAGCAGCGGTTCATGCACCATGGCGAATATCAACAACCTGCCTGAGGACAATGCAGTGGTAAAATTAGACTTCAAGAATGCATTAAATCTCCTGAAAAGAGATGTGGTATTAACAGCGGTACAAGAATATTTCCCTGGTCTCTTCCCTTTGTTTCAGTTGGATATATCAAGGAATCAATGCTCCTTTTTTGGAGAACATGAAATCACATCATCAGAGGGTGTCCAGCAAGGGATCCTCTTGCAAACCCTTTCTCTTCTGTTTAAAAAAGTTAGGGAAATCACAGTCAGACTGACCAGTGAGCTAAACATCTGGTTCCTGGATGATGGCACAATAGCAGGTACAAAGGAGTCCCTCTTAGGTTATCTTACATAAGTGAAAGACACGATGACAGGAAATGGGTCTCATCCTGAATCCATTCAAATGTGAAATTTCAGTCAACAAGTGATAAATGCAGTGAGATCCAAACTACCAGGAGCATCAGTCATTGCCCCTACAAATAGCGTCTTGCTTGGAGCACCTCTGGGAAGCGATGCCATTGACACAAATCCTCAGGAAGAAATTAGAAGAACTGAGGAGAATGGAACAACGAATAGGCAGTCTTGACACCCACGATGCCTTGTACCTTCTCACAAAGTGCTTGAGTCTGCCCAGGTTGACATATTTCCTAAGATGTGCACCTTCATATGTAACCCTATACTGCAAAGAATATGACAGTATTTCCCGAGGCAGATTTTTACGAAAGTGCTTAACCTTACTCTAGAAGATGGGCAGTGGAACCAAGCTACACTTCCAGTCAAACTAGGAGGTACTGGTGTCCGCAAGTCATCACAGATTGCACTACCTGCTTTTCTGTCCTCATGCATTGCATCCAGAGGGCTTATAGCAGCAATTCTCCCTGAACATCTTATGGACAAGACTGGACTCCAGGACCAAAAGTTCATTGACGGAGCCATGATCTGGGATAATCTAACAGGCTCTGAAACCAGACCTGCTCCCCCAACAACTACAAACAGTCGCACTGGGATGGCCCGATAGTGGAGAAAACAGCCTCAACAGTGCTTCATTGTGTGTCAATGAAGGATAGAGCCCGCCTCCTGGCAATGAGAGCTCCTCATACAGGGGAACTTTTTGTTGGGGTGTTCCCAACTCCAGCCTTGGCACACGGCTCAACCCACAGACCTTCCGCATTAGTGTTGCCCTTCGACTTGTCGCCCCTATTCTCGCCGAACACAGGTGTATTTGTGGCAGTGAAACAGCAGACCGATTCGGGTACCATGGTCATGTGTGCCGTAAATCCGAGGGAAAGATTGAAAGACATAAGGAGGTTAATAACATCAAGAGTAGCCTCACAACAGCCGGATGCCCAGCAATAAGGGAGCCACCCCAACTATGCAGATCTGATGGCCGCCAGAAGCGTCCAGATGGTATCACACTTCAAGCCTGGACAGACGGTAAGCAGGTGGTGTGGGACTATACATATGCACCTACCTTGGCTGATACCTATCTCCAATACACCAGGGAAGAAGGAGAGGCAGCTGCCAGCTTCATGGAGTCCCAAAAGTCTATAAAATATGGAGAATTTTCCCATCCTTATATGTTTGTTCCCATAGACTCAGAGACCCTTGGCTCATGGGGGAAGAGTGCATCTAAGTGCCTGCTGTATTTTGGGCACGCGTCCCAGTTCTGAAGAGCTTAATGAGATTTTCGTATTATATTCAGTGACAACAAGTAACAATAATGTACTAGACATGTATCTCTCACATCTCATGTTCTGTAATGCCATTGTATATCAACAATGCATCTCTTAAACCTTTTTATACCATATGTAATAAAATATTCCTATTGGTAAAAAAGAATTAAAAAAATGGGGTGGTAGGGGAAGTGGAATATTCAAATGACTTCAGGAAGAAATCCAAATATTCTTGTTTGAAGCCTTTTTATGCACTTTTCCGAGGCTTGGGTCCCACAAATTTACACCAGAGGTGGATCCCATCTATATATAAATATATAATATAAAAATATATATATATATATTATATAATATATATATATATATATATATATATAAAATATATATATATATATATATTTTATATATTTTATATATTATATCGTGCCGAATATGAAAACTGGTCAATTAGCAAGAACTCATTTAAAATAAGTCCTTTGTGAAATTTTCTCTTATACGTTTAAAGATAATTTTTTTCATTAATGTTAATATAAAAATTTTTAATTTTGCACCAAAAGAATTTTAGAAAACTTACCTAACCTTATTATAAAAAGCGCAATTTATTTTAGCCTAACCCAACTAAATACATTTTAAATACGTTTACAATAATTAATACTAAAAAAAACACAATGAAATATATTTTTTCGTTAGGTTCAAATGATTTTGGGGAAAATTTATTGCATACACAAATTTTCATTTTGTCTTATATGGCAAGAGGGCGTTGCTATTTAAGCCAAGATCGCAAGTTCTCCCTATTGGGCACGACATATAATATATATATAATATAAAATATATATAAAATATATAATATAAATATATATATATATTATATAATATATATATATATATAATATATATATATATGTCGTCCGAATATGTAAAACTGGTCATTAGCAAGAACTCATATAAAATTAAGTCCGTTCAAAATTTTCTCTTAAAACGTTTAAAGATATATTTTTTTCCATTAATGTTAATGTAAAATTTTTTAATTTTGCACCAAAAGAATCTTAGAAAACTTACCTAACCTTATTATAACAAGAACAATTTATTTTAGCCTAACCCAACTAAATATATTTTAGATTTGTTTACAGTAATTTAATACTAAACAAACACAGTGAAATATATTTTTTTCGTTAGGTTCAGAATGATTTTGGCGAATTATTGCATACACAAATTTTCACTTGTCCTATATGGCAAGATGAACGTTGCTATTTTAAGCCAAGATCGCAATTCTGCCTATTCGGCACGACATATATATATATATATATATACATATATATATATACATAATATATATATATATATATATATATTTATATATAATATATATATATATATATATTATATATATATATATATATATATATATATGCAATAAGATCACAGTAAACATTATTCCTTAATAATGTGAGTAGTCACGAAAGCGCTTGGAACTTCTCTATTCTTTCACAGTGGTTGTTTTGTATATATATATTATATATATATATATATATATATATATATATATATATATATATATATATATATATATATTATATATATATGTATATATATATATATATATATATTATATATATATATATATATATATATATTATAATATAATATATATATATATAAATATATATATATATAAATATATATTATATATAATATATATATATATATATATATATTATATATATATATATATATATATATATATATATATATGTATATATATATATATTAATATATATATTATATATATATAATTATGCACGAAGCCTGACCCCAGGTAATAAGTATGGGCGCCTAGCCGAAGCTAGACTATGTTTCCACATACCCCGGAGCACCAGGTCTGTTTGGGAATTGTTAAGCATTTCGTATCTCTTTCGTTGTTCACTGCATGTGGCAGGATTTGATTAAATGACTTTGAAAATGAATCTGGTGCCCCTGGGCATGGGGAAAGTCCTTAATTTGCAATACACACACACACACACACACACACACACACACACACACACACACACTTCATATGTATTCAATGATATTAGACAAATAATTGAGCAGAAAAAAACTTTCAACTCTCAGACATAACTGTTAAATAAAAAAAGGTGAAGAAGAAAAAGCGAACTTGACTGGAAGAAACATTAGAAGTTCCTCAGAATAAATTACATATTTCTCCATATCAGTCACACAAATTCCAGTTATGAGTAGCTGATATTTTAATGCCCTCTGAAGCATTATAAATTTCAGGACGGAATAAAACGTTCAGAAACCTTCCATTTCTGATTTGTTGTGCAACTGTGAAGTGTTCACTTTTCTTTGTATTTCTCAATATACCTGTCCATCAAATTTATAATGTTGTTGTTGTTGTTGTCGTCGTTTTTGTTGTTATTATTATTTTTATTCTTATTAGTATTATTATTAATACTATTATTGTTTATATTAACTATTATGCAATAAGTAAACAGATGATATCATAATCTACAGAACAACCACTGTAAAAGATATGTTTTTTTTTGGCACCCAAGTGGCTAGTTTATGGTGTATCCACATGTTCTTGTGCCACCGTCCACAGGATGGATATCAGTTGCACAATAAACTAGCCACTTCGGTGCCAAAACGTTATCTTCCACATTGATTGTTCTGCATATTATGTGGAAAGAATAGAGAATTTCCAACCGATTTCATGATTTCTCACATCAAAGAATTATGATATTGTGAGAAATCACGAAATCGCTTGGGAATTCAGTATTCTTTTCACAGTGGATGCTCTGCACATTAACTATTATATTTCATCATTGCTGAGCGGTACTGACCAAGTCATGGTGGACGCAGGACAGCGGAGATGTGGGGCTCCCTTGTGCCGTATAACATATTTGGTCCAGTAGACGGCCACATCTGCTGGTTCTTGTGGACGATCCTTCATAACTTTGGACCTTCTTGCTACTTCAGCTCTCATGCTGCCTCGTCACACACACCAAGAAATTATTTGTATTATTTATTTGATTTACAAATAGCATCATTACCCACGTCATGTTAGCTAATTCTTGAAAATAGAGATGCCTTAGTTCTGGTGAAGCACTCTTGATTAAAAATAAATAAAACTACCATCTCGATCTTTGGATCAAGTCTAATGAACCTCTATTTTCCAGATGATATATAACATTAATATAACAAAAGTAATTACAGTTAGCTATTCCCTTTCGGGTTTTGACACCTTAGATAATCTATTTCCTTTCATACTGCGGATCATCTCCAGCATTAAGTTAAGTTTTTTATATTATTAACACGTCGGACGTTTCTCAACGAGGCAGTGTGACTCGAAAAAGAAAAAAACTATTTTATCATCACTCACTTCATCAATGTCTTGCCAGAGGAGTGCCTACACTACAGTTCAAAAGCTGCAATAAATTTACAGCATGAGATTTGGATCAGTTTCTCTTATTCTCAAAGGTCTCTAGAGTATACCTAGAGAGGATTATCGGGGGTCAACGCGGCCCGGAAGGAAGCAATCATTGTTTTGAAAAATATTCACTTTCATTATATCCATTATCATATTCTTTCATAATCCCTTACAGGGATATAACTTCCCTTTTAATTATATAACGAGCGCTTGTTAGACCCGACCGATGTGTTGCCTTGTGGAGAAATATTGAAATAGTCATGTCCATGTATGTCTGGAGAGATCTTGTGAACGAGTGATGGTAATATCTTTATCTTTTTCGTCAACCTTGGTGGGAAAAACTGAAGCACTGAAACAAAGTCAACCTTTACGATACAACTAAAATCTTGTGGTCACAATTACCTCTTATCATTCATGATGATGCTGATCGCATTCTTGAGATTATCAAAAGTAAGTTGTTGCCAGAGAAGAACTCTGCCCCAGCCGTCCCTCTGAGCAGTGTTCATGTTGGAATACTGGTCAGCAAACACAGGTATTCCCAGCACCGCCACACCGTGCTACATGGACTCCAAGGTGCTCAGCAACCCACCGTGTGTGATGAACAAACGCAAGCGAGGATCACCTGTATTAAATAACTAGTTACCTTTTTTCCCTCTCTTCTTCCCCTTCTCTTTCTTCTTCTTTGAAAATCCTTTTTATTATTATCATTTTTATTATTTTATCTATTAGGAAACACAGTGAAAGTTCCAAATATTGCAGTAGTTTCTGTAAGGAACACGTATAAATTATGTACATAGTTGTTATTCTGTCGCTGGTATGTCACAGGTGTCTTCTGAAAAACTCTGTAATGCTGGATTTTTGTCTTCGTTTATTGGTCTTATTTATAATATATTTAATGTGAATTAATGAACCTGGTTAAAGTCCTGTTGGGTCTGCAGCAATTTTCAATGAGAATCTTACAACATCCGAATAGAATTCATTATTAATAAAAAACTTATTATCAAATACTGAACATTATTTTTTCCACATTACTTGAATAATGATAAAAAAGTTATAAAATATTTTTTTAGCATGAATTAAATATTTTTATTTTAAAATACTTCAAAATAAATTAGAAATGATGTCTTAATATTTGTTTTTTTTTTTAGCGATAGGTCTTGATGTAAGGCTTAAGATTTACTTACCAAGAATATCTTGTTGTGGGAGCCACTTGCCAAGACGGACATTTGGTGGTAGGTCATCCATGGTGTCCTGATCCCACTTCCATAAGACTCTCTGCTTGAGGGAAGCAAACACTTGAACCAAGGTTGTGCGGTACCTGTGTGTATAGTGTGTTAGCTGAATTATACAGCTGCTCTCATCTACTGAACCGTAAAAAAAATGTCAAATATAAAGACAAAGAAACAAGTTGGAGAACAAGCTTTATAATAACATGTCGCTCTGAGTAGTGTTTTATAAAGTTATGATAATGCTTAAGACTGAACATGCTTCAGTTGTCCTAACTAAAGTTTGTTCTACAACCTACGTCTTTGTCTCCAGACCTGTCAGTAATTAGCTCTTCCCTCTGGTTGTGACAATACATGCACGTCAAACTGTGGAATTCATAGTGTGATCCAGATTATAGTTATTTAAATATCCTGGTAATAAAATTACAAGTTAAGATGCATTAGTTAAACTAGTTGTTATATCTTTAATAAAAATTGAAAATATATAAACTCAAATGTCGCATAAAAATATGAACAGATTTTCCTATGTGGATAAAATCCTTCATTCAACTCCTACAGTACATAATTTAAGGAAAGTTTACTGGGCGACAGATCATAGGCATAACATGTGCATATAACTTTTTAATTATTATATTTTTTAGAAATTCAGTGCAGTGCAAGAAAAAAAAACTTAATGAACAGGAACTTTACACTTGTTCATAACAGATCTTTACATTAATTTATTTTAAATTATAACAGTTAATTAATATATTTCTAAACAAAAATGTTCATTAGTAACAGTTATGTAAAGTAAAAGGACACAAGTGCAACTAATGTGACATTTATTGTGGCAACGTTTCGCTCTCCAGGAGTTTTATCAACCCATTACAAACAAACAGGGACACAGGGGGTAAAAAAAGGCTCAAGTAGGTCAAAACTATGAGGTAACAATTCGATGTTCACTGGGGATTAGTAGAGTAGCGTAGTATATGACAAAGTAATACAATATAAAGAAAAATTGACTCGTACAAGAAAAAGGGGAAAAAAAGCTATTACGGGGTAACATAAAAATAGGTTGGAAAAACATAGACGGAAAGGGGCACTTGTTTTAGTGTTCACTTCTGAATGTCCTTGTGTATATAACAGAGAACTAGTATGCAGGGTTACTGTTTTTAGGGGGATTCTTTCTAAGCTTCGGAGATGGGGAAGCTGCCGTGTTTGTTTAATTGAAAATTTGAAAAAGCGATCAGTGCTTTATTCGGGCACTTCGTCTGCGGAAATTAGTTTTTTTGATCACTAATAGGGGGTCCTCTGAATTTCTGAGTGATGGTGGAATTTCGGTTTGTCACAGGCTTGTTCAAGTTTCGTTTCCCCCATGCTAAATTGGTTTTATTGAGGGGGGTGTCGGGTTTCCTTTTGTTTCACCTACGTAAATCTTTCACACCTCCACAGGGAAAAAGTGTAAACCCTGCATTGACTGGTTCGTACAGCGTGGAAGGAGACAACGTATTACGACAATCCAATCTAAAACCGAGCACTGCTTACTCACGATGCTTTACTCTAACAGAGTAAAAATCAAACCAGCGAGGGGCACAACCAATGATCGTCCAAACTAGCACTTGCAGCTGTCGAGGGCAGGCTGCAAGTCAAATGTAATGCATTTTTATCGCTAAAAAGGGGCCTTTGTTGTCGCGTACAGAGACACAGGGGCTGAGAAACTATTTCCCACCACTGCACTACCACCTACAGACCAGGGATTTCTTGTCTTACTTCCCCAGCACGAGGGCCAGGAGAACTGGTTCCTCAAGCGACTCGACAACCTTATCACTGTACGGGCCACGAAGAAATCAAGCTTTAAATCGAACAAAAACCCTTGGGCCAGGGGATTCTTTACAAAAACCCCAAATGCTCACCCCATGCTGAAGGTCACCTTCGTACGAAACAGGGGCACCAACTCTCGCTGAGGGCCTGGCTATTCCTACTTCCACATCAACCGAGCCTTCATGAAGCAGAGAAATTCCAACAATTCACAGTGCTAAATTTGTTACTCAACTTACACCCAAAAAAGATTGTCCTACCAAGGACAAAATTCTGCTCCACCGGGCCCTGAGGGTCATGACTTTAAGAATGCCACGCTTCACCACCAAATGCTTGAACTGCAAGAATAAAAACCAACCTTTCGCATGCCCAAGAAGAACAACTCAAGAAACAAAAACAACAAAAAAACCCAACCCCCAAGCAACCACATATTCTCATCGCCAAGCTTCAAACAACCACCCAAAAACTACATCCACGCAAGCGCTCCCCCACTCCTGCCAGCACCTATTTCCGACCCACCAAGCTTTTTTGCATTTGTATGCTCATGTACAGAATCGCTGAGCCTGGTTCCTTTTAACACCACCACAATGAACTTTTCAAACTAAAAAATATGCCCCGGCCCCAATTCCCGCACACCACCTCCAGAGATCCTAAAATCTACTGCAAAAATTAAACCCGCATCACCCCTGCTCCACCCCCTGTCACAACCCCACTAGACCAGGAGGGCCAATCAGAACCCTGAATCGGCAAAACCCACCAATGAAGTCCATACCGCTTTTATCCACTGCTAGAGCAAAATGACCATCGGAAAACTCGCCTTCACCGTTTACCACCACCAAGAAAGCAAAAACACAAGACACTCGGGTGCACCTCACGGTGCCACGTCCGAACTGCGCACCCAAAGGAGTCGATATCTGAAGGGTGTTTCTTCTACACAAACAAGGAGTTTAAGAAACACAATTGCTGGTCTTCAGAAATCCATCATCCACCTCCGGACGGAACAGTCAGTATACCTACGACCAAACTTGCTACATACACCAATGAAGACATGACCAGGATACTCACTGCCAACACCAACACCTTGTGGAAGTCAGTTCACCTCAAGAGCAAAATTCAGGATGCTTCAGAATAGGGACCTTGAAGACGGTACCCTCGTCTGCAGACCTATCCAATGACCATGAACCAGCACTTTGCTGTCCCTAAAGTGGGGTGTGGCTCAATAAACATGTAAATGCTTGCCTCTGCCCCCGACTGGCTTCTCTTTGGGAGAGTCAGCGCAGATAGGACGGAAGACGACATCTCCAACCGGAGGGCCAAGAAAAAAAGAAAGATGATTATCGTCCACCCCACCGGGGGGCATGTGGGTCACCATCAGGTGAAACCGTGGGCCAAGAGACCTGCGAATCAACATGAATGAAAATGAACACCAACACACGACATCAACACAGGAGAGCACAGCGGCTAGCACGATTACGACAACATGCATTGCCCTTCTATGGCTTGGTTTGGTGCCAGAGCCCGAGTTTGTACCTTACAAGATGAAGGGGGTACTTGTGCCTCCTCCCATGTAGAGACTTAGGTCTCAGACACTCCATAGACTAGGTGGGGGACAGCCAGGCCGTGGCCACATTGAAGGGCCCGGGCTGGAAAATACCGGCCGAACATATTTAACAACACACCCCAGTAGTTTGTTTTGTGACTTGAAAAAGCCCGACTGTGTGGGCGAAACGTTAGTCAATAAAGGATCTCATTATACTGCATTTGTGTTTTATTGCCAGGACTGATTACATCATTTCCATCCTCTCTTACGCTTCCTCTTTGTATGGCCTGAATGAAGCCACTGTGTGGCGATAACTGTTTCCTGAATAAAGATTCCCATATGCTAGCATAAGTTCTCAACTTGCAACTTGTGGTTTCAACCATTCATCACAACTGTCAGACACTGGCAGTTCATTGGATCTTGTTACAAAGAATTTCTTCAACACTTGTTCAACTCTTTGACGAAGGACTACTTCGACTAGTGGATTGTACCCACTATGACCCCCGCACTCCACCTGCTTCACGTCACCTCACTACAGTATATAAGCCACGTCTACGGCCCTATGCTGTACGGTGTCAGTCGACTTAACTCGAGTGGTGACGTGTGCTTACCTAACACATCGACGATCTCGCCTCTCTCGAATTACCCCGTGTTGAGTAGTGCTGTGAGTAGTGCTTGCATGCACCTTCGTCTTCCTCTCCACCCATCAGGATTGGTGCGTTCGGTGGTTTGCCGAACGAAGGGCAGGAAGCCTCTTGCTGCCTGAATTCTCTTCGCCTGTTGACTGCACGCCATACAGCCAGTCTCGCCACCACTCAGGATATACAGTGCTCAATCAAGGTACAGTTCACATCCTCAGTTGGTCATGCGCCAGGCACGTACGTGTGTCTACTTAACGTTACTAGCCTAGCTGAAGTTATCTCACTTTTTGGTCCGTTTGTCACCAGCAATTACATCTTTTCGTAATTAGACGTCGGCCTTCGTTGCATTCCACTCCCCCACCTTCCACTCTCACCAACCTCCCACACCTGCGATGCTTTCTTCTACATCCAATTTCCCTTCTCGCTAACCTCAAATTTTTAACTCCTGATGCCACTATCGGTCCGGAAAATTTATTATATTCAGATCACTGGATGGCTACCCTCAACTTAAAAGTCTTCAAAACCAACTTCAGGCTTCTCTCAAACTCCTTAGTGACAAACATTTCCTACGAAGCGTACACCTCATGGATACCAGACTAAAATACTTCTCCAACGCAGGCTTCACCATTATTTGGACTCCTGAGCACCGTGCCAAAAGCACAGTCATTGTATCAGTTGGATATACTCTCTCCTGACCAGCTATGACACTAGACAAAGAAGGCTTAATAGAAAAGTATCAGTTTACTAAGAAAAAGTCTATGTTGACGAGTTATTTAGAGACAGAAAACTCTACATTCTCATAATTACGCTTGTTCTACTCCTCTGTCGCCTCTACTCACTCTTAAGTAAGGAATCCTTTGCCAAGACCTTCCGCATCTCTCCAAACGCTATCTTCTCTCCGACTTCACCAATCTACGCATTTCTTAAATGCTACAAATTCGGGCCACGACAAAACACATGCACATCTACACAAGTTCTGCTTCCAGGGATGTTCAGCAACTGGCCATTCTGGAATACTTGTCAGTACATCCCCCTTAAATGTTCGAACTTGCGGGGGGTCACACACGCTGTAGTGGCAATTTTCAATGCCTTCTAGAAAGACATTCTTCCTCCC